TTTAAATGCCAGATTTTTTTAGAGGGAAAATCATGATTAAAAAGCCAATCCTCATGAAAATCGGTTGATTTTTGGCCGAGTTATGGAGGTGGGAAATTTCGACCCATGTCAATATACGATTCCTAGGGGTAAGATTTTGACATGAATTTCGACCCAAAAATGTGTTGTCAGATTTAAATGCCAGATTATTTTAGAGGGAAAACCATGAACGAAAAACCAATCTTGGTGAAAATCGGTTGATTTTTGGCCGAGTTATGGAGGTGGGAAATTTCGCCCCATGTCTATATACGAATCCTAGGGGTAAGATTTTGACATGAATTTCGACCCAAAAATGTGTGTTCAGATTTAAATGCCAGATTATTTTAGAGGGAAAACAATGAACAAAAATCCAATCCTCATGAAAATCGGTTGATTTTTGGCCGAGTTATGGGTTGGGAAATTTCGGCCCATGTCCCATTACGAATCCTAGGGTAAGATTTTGACATGAATTTCGACCCAAAAATGTGTTGTCAGATTTAAATGCCAGATTATTTTAGAGGGAAAATCATCAACAAAAAGCCAATCCTCATGAAAATCGGTTGATTTTTGGCCGAGTTATGGAGGTCGGAAATTTCGACCCATGTCAATATACGATTCCTAGGGGTAAGATTTTGACATGAATTTCGACCCAAAAATGTGTTGTCAGATTTAAATGCCAGAATCTTTTAGAGGGAAAACCATGAATAAAAAGCCAATCCTCATGAAAATCGGTTGATTTTTGGCCGAGTTATGGGTTGGGAAATTTCGGCCCATGTCCCATTACGAATCCTAGGGTAAGATTTTGACATGAATTTCGACCCAAAAATATGTGTTCAGATTTAAATGCCAGATTATTTTAGAGGGAAAACAATGAATAAAAAGCCAATCCTCATGAAAATCGGTTGATTTTTGGCCGAGCTATGGAGGTGGGAAATTTCGACCCATGTCAATATACGATTCCTAGGGGTAAGATTTTGACATGAATTTCGACCCAAAAATGTGTGTTCAGATTTAAATGCCAGATTATTTTAGAGGGAAAATCATGAATAAAAAGCCAATCCTCATGAAAATCGGTTGATTTTTGGCCGAGTTATGGAGGTAGAAAATTTTGACCTATGTCAATATACGATTCCTAGGGGTAAGATTTTGACATGAATTTCGACCCAAAAATGTGTTGTCAAATTTAAATGCCAGATTATTTTAGAGGGAAAACCATGAATAAAAAGCCAATCCTCATGAAAATCGGTTGATTTTTGGCCGAGTTATGGGTTGGGAAATTTCGGCCCATGTCCCATTACGAATCCTAGGGTAAGATTTTGACATGAATTTCGACCAAAAAATATGTGTTCAGATTTAAATGCCAGATTATTTTAGAGGGAAAACCATGAATAAAAAACCAATCCTCATGAAAATCGGTTGAGTTTTGGCCGAGTTATGGAGGTCGGAAATTTCGACCCATGTCAATATACGATTCCTAGGGGTAAGATTTTGACATGAATTTCGACCCAAAAATGTGTGTTCAGATTTAAATGCCAGATTTTTTTAGAGGGAAAATCATGATTAAAAAGCCAATCCTCATGAAAATCGGTTGATTTTTGGCCGAGTTATGGAGGTAGAAAATTTTGACCTATGTCAATATACGATTCCTAGGGGTAAGATTTTGACATGAATTTCGACCCAAAAATGTGTTGTCAAATTTAAATGCCAGATTATTTTAGAGGGAAAACCATGAATAAAAAGCCAATCCTCATGAAAATCGGTTGATTTTTGGCCGAGTTATGGGTTGGGAAATTTCGGCCCATGTCCCATTACGAATCCTAGGGTAAGATTTTGACATGAATTTCGACCAAAAAATATGTGTTCAGATTTAAATGCCAGATTATTTTAGAGGGAAAACCATGAATAAAAAACCAATCCTCATGAAAATCGGTTGAGTTTTGGCCGAGTTATGGAGGTCGGAAATTTCGACCCATGTCAATATACGATTCCTAGGGGTAAGATTTTGACATGAATTTCGACCCAAAAATGTGTGTTCAGATTTAAATGCCAGATTTTTTTAGAGGGAAAATCATGATTAAAAAGCCAATCCTCATGAAAATCGGTTGATTTTTGGCCGAGTTATGGAGGTGGGAAATTTCGACCCATGTCAATATACGATTCCTAGGGGTAAGATTTTGACATGAATTTCGACCCAAAAATGTGTTGTCAGATTTAAATGCCAGATTATTTTAGAGGGAAAACCATGAACGAAAAACCAATCTTGGTGAAAATCGGTTGATTTTTGGCCGAGTTATGGAGGTGGGAAATTTCGCCCCATGTCTATATACGAATCCTAGGGGTAAGATTTTGACATGAATTTCGACCCAAAAATGTGTGTTCAGATTTAAATGCCAGATTATTTTAGAGGGAAAACAATGAACAAAAATCCAATCCTCATGAAAATCGGTTGATTTTTGGCCGAGTTATGGGTTGGGAAATTTCGGCCCATGTCCCATTACGAATCCTAGGGTAAGATTTTGACATGAATTTCGACCCAAAAATGTGTTGTCAGATTTAAATGCCAGATTATTTTAGAGGGAAAATCATCAACAAAAAGCCAATCCTCATGAAAATCGGTTGATTTTTGGCCGAGTTATGGAGGTCGGAAATTTCGACCCATGTCAATATACGATTCCTAGGGGTAAGATTTTGACATGAATTTCGACCCAAAAATGTGTTGTCAGATTTAAATGCCAGAATCTTTTAGAGGGAAAACCATGAATAAAAAGCCAATCCTCATGAAAATCGGTTGATTTTTGGCCGAGTTATGGGTTGGGAAATTTCGGCCCATGTCCCATTACGAATCCTAGGGTAAGATTTTGACATGAATTTCGACCCAAAAATGTGTTGTCAGATTTAAATGCCAGAATCTTTTAGAGGGAAAACCATGAATAAAAAGCCAATCCTCATGAAAATCGGTTGATTTTTGGCCGAGTTATGGGTTGGGAAATTTCGACCCATGTCTATATACGAATCCTAGGGGTAAGATTCTGACATAAATTTCGACCCAAAAATGTGTGTTCAGATTTAAATGCCAGATTATTTTAGAGGGAAAACCATGAACAAAAAACCAATCTTGGTGAAAATCAGTTGATTTTTGGCCGAGTTATGGAGGTGGGAAATTTTGACTCATGTCTATATATATATATATATCTGAGGGTATATTTCCGGCCTTGCCAGAGCCATGAATTAAAAAAATGCTCGCAAAGAAAATGAGTTTGAAACCGATCGGTTAAAAAAATTGCATTAAAACGAATTCCGCGATTTTTCCACACATGCGGGTGGAATTGCCCAAACGTGTCGAATGGTTCCACAAGTCCCGTAAAACACAACTCAAACTCTTTTTCAGTTTGTTTTTATAAAATATTTAATTTTATTTTTTATTTTTTAATTTTTATTTTTTTCATTTATTTTTTGTTCGTTTTGTTATTAGATTAATAAGAACATTCATTTCGATATTTAAAGTTAATTTGAACATAAAGTTTTGCACTAAAGTTGATAGAAAACTGAAAAACGTGACACGTGTCCGGTTCGCATAATAATAATGATATTTAATTCCTGGAGAATTCGGGTTAGCTTTAAAAACTTATTTTTTAAATTATTTTTTTTAGTTTTTTAAATACTCGTAATAGACCAAAGTTGGAAGGGTTTTGTTTATGTGGAACATTAGAGTCTATTTAAGTGGTTGGAGGGCTGAGGGGCGGTTGGGGGGGCGTGGTTTATCATATGGGTATTACATACATACATACATACATATATATATGTGTCTGTCTATATGGCTATGGCTATTGCTGTATATTAAATACTTAAGTTTTTTTTTTTTAGATTTGATTTTTATTTGCCGCTTGTTTTTTTTATGGTAAAAAGTTTTTCTATTTTTTACGTTTACATTTCTTTTAAATCGTTTTATTTTTTATTGTGTGCTTTAAATGAGGGCCGCTGCTTCTTCTTCTTGATTGTTTTTTTTTCATTAAAAAATATATAAAAAATGTTGCCGAAAGTACGCCTAAAAGTGGTTTTCATTTATTTTTTAACAGAGAAACAAATACTTTTATTTTTATTCAAAAATATATATTTTTAGTATTTATGTATATGCCAGACTTTTGCTAAACAAGTTCACGAAAGTTGTTGTTCATATTAATTTAAATATTAAAAAATTAAAAAAAAAAATATTAAAAAATAAAAAAAATAAAATAAAAATTTGAAATGCGCCTAAGTTCAAATTAAGGCTAGAAAAGGCACTTTAGATAAGTAGAAAATGAAAGTGGAGCAGAATTTGTTAACTAAAAAAAATGTCGGCCTTGACCGACTAGAAAATACCCTAATCCTCGCAATATACAAAATTTGTATGCCCTTGTGCAGGGTATTAAAATGTCATCACGAATTGTGTAACACTTCGAGCTTAAAATTAAATTGAGATACATTTTAATTTATTTAAATATTAAAAAAAATATATTTGCCCAATTTTTTTGAGTGCACAACAACTTTCGTTTTGAGTAAATTTTGCTTCTAAATTTGATTTTCACAATTTTCGCTAAATTTATTTTTATTTTTTTTTTTGTATAAATACCTTAAAGTTGTTTGTTTGTTAAAAAATTCACGTTTTCATTTACAAATTTAGTTTATTTTTCATTTTTTGTGTTTTTTTAATGTAACAATTTCTCATTTTTGTTTGTCTCTGAATTGAATTCCGAAAGGCATTTTTTGTGAATTTTTTGTTTGTTTTTTTTTTTTTTTAAGACCTAAACATTAAATTTAGTTGCAATTTTCAGTTTTCTCCTTAATTTTTGTTTTTTTTTTTTTAATGCACATCCAAAAGTTTTAATTTTTTTTTTTAATTTTTTGTACATATTTTTTGGTATTAAAAACTAAATAAAACTGGGCACACAACGATTTTATTTTTGTTTTAAATATTAGTTTTTGTTTTTGATTTTTATATTTTTTAGTTTTAGGTTTTGAAAAACGGTTTCGTGCTGTGTTTGCTGTGGAATGTTCCGGGGTATTTTAGAGTTTTGCGTGTTCTATTATAAATTAAAGAGATCGCTATTTAATTGTTTAAGTTTAGGCGCTATGTAACATAATAATACTTTTGATTTAGTTTTTAATACGTAGTTCAGTTGAAATTAGAAACTATGCAATCAAATTCATGTGGACCGACAAAAAACGAGGAACGCGCGTTCGAAATGCACATCAATAAATATATATGCATTTCCTTTTAAATACTATTTAGTAAAAAGTTAAATCAAACATTTGAAAAATTCAATTCTCAAATCTCAATTGCTTGAAAGAAATGGGTAACACTTTAATGCTGCTTGCGCTTGCTGCAAAGCTGTCGCACCAGAAATGGGCAGCACTTTTTCTGGCGCGCGTTTTGATTGTTTAGTTTGAGTTGAGAGGCCCTTTACTCGCTGCTGGTCGTAATGGGCTCCACCTTGATGCCGCCGCCGCTGCTGTTGCTGCCGGAGCAGATGTCCGTGGTGGTCGCTCCACTTGCTCCGGCTGTGGGTTGGCCTGTTGACGGCGTCGCTGCGCTGCTTGTTGTGGCGGGCGCCACGCCCACCAGCTCAGCCAGATCCTCGGCAAAGAGGCGAGTGGGCGAGAACTCGCGCTTGTAGCCCAGCTCCAGGCCCAGCTCGGCGAGCGGCGAGTGTAGGCGCGGCGTCTCGCTGCGCAGCGGACTACCCTTCGACTTGGACTTGTCCAGCTGCTGCTGCTGCTGCTGCTGGGCAACGGAGGAGCCAGCGCTGGCTGTGGGCATGGAACTGGCACCGAAACCGGATTTGTGTGGCTGCATGTGATGCGGATGCGCCGCCGCCGCCGCCGCAGCAGCTGCTGCTGCTGCCGCTGCCTGCGCCTGTTGCTGGTGTAAAGCGTGCTGCTGCTGTTGTTGTTGGTGTTGTTGCTGCTGTTGCTGATGCAGCTGAAGCTGCTGGAGGTGATGCTGCTGCTGCTGGCTGAGCAGCGCGGCGGCGGCCGGATCACGGTGCAGTGCAACGGCCATGCTGGGCGGCAGATTCGGCATGAGGCCGGCGGGACCGCAGGGCGAGGGTGCATGCCGCGGTCCCATTGAGGGATTTGAGCCGCTGCTCAGTGCCGGCGATATGCTGGCCCTGCCCGGCCCGCCGCCACCCGCCAGATGCGGCGGCAAATTGAACAGAGCCCCCGGCGGCGGCGGCGGCCCCGCCTCCCCGTGCTGATGCTGCGCTGCGGCGGCCATTTGCATCTGCTGACGTATATTGTGCGCAACGGCGGCCACCGCCGACATTTGCTCCTGGGACATTTGCTGATCCCCACCACCGCCGCCAGCCCCAACGGCAGCGCCTCCTCCACCGCCGCTGCCCATGCCATTCGGGCAGGCCAGAGCGCTGAGGCTGGCGGCGCCGCCGACCGGCATGCCGCCACTAGCGCCTGGATAGCTTAACGTCATGTCCTGCAAGGGAAACACGGGCTAACCCGATCAACAGTTTAGTGCATGTGTTGGCCATTTTAATAGAAATGACTAAAAAACAAAAACCTGGCACTTTCGAATTGGGAGCTTGTGAAGTTGGTTGCAATTAATCGATTAACGACAACAAGTATCGATATTTTCTATTGAGCTAACATTTGAGTTTGGCAGCATCGATGTCTGTTAGCTTGGCTTAACAAATTCAACACAAACAGATCCCTGCTTAGAAATTCGTGTGAAGTACCGTAGCTACTGTACAGCTAAGCACTCAGGCACAGCTTAGTCAATTTGGCCCTGTAGGGCATCGATGCCTGTGGCTGGATTGATGCTGTTAATCGATTTCGTGTTGATCTAACATAAAATGTGAAGCTTAACATGCCGCTTAAGACAGCGCTGTTATCTACCTACATAAAAAGTTGCATTGATCTAACATTACTTGCAAAGCTTAACAGGCCGCTTAGAGGCAGCGCTGTTATCTACCAGAAACAGGTGTTACTCGATACTGAATTGATCTAACATCGAATGTAAAGCTTAACAGGCCGCTTAAAGAGGACTCAGCTGTCACGTATTAATCGATATCGAATTAATCGGAAAAAAATGGCTGCGCAAATTAACTCGCGTGTGTGTAATATTTTTGTTTAAAGTGATTGTGTTTGTGAATTGTTTAGTGTTTTTCCTGCTACATACCGAATGGCGGCCGTACGGTGGCAGATGCGCGCCCAAACTGTCGTCCTTTAAGTCCTTGGTATCGCGAAACACGACCGTCTTGATGACGCCCTTAATATGCTCATCCGGCCAGATGCCCAACAGTATGCGCTGCGGCCGCCCGCGCCCCTTTGGCCGCAAATCGGGCCCGCCATCGATCGACGGTCCCAGCATATTGTGCACCCGATTCGCATACAGCACAAACGTCGGATAGGGTATATCATATTTGCGCGCCGCCTGCGACAGCGACAGGCCCTCCTTCAGCACGCTGAATATGGCCTCGGCCATCGTCTCGGGCCGCCACGACTTAAGCGGGCCGCGCTCCCGAAAGCGCATATGATGCATCAGATTCTGATTGGTGTTCCAGCATTTTTGCCACATCGACTGCAGCTGATATTGATAGCTGTCTGCTGGAGGTGGCAAACAAAACATAACGGCGCATAAAGCTCGGGTAAGTGCAAGAAGCTTACAGTTTTTTTTTGCGTCGTACAAACCTGCTAGCGTGGAGCCGGTGGCGCCCATCCAAGCGTGCGAGTTCTCCATCATTTTTGCCTGCCGAAAAAAAAGATAAGAAGAAGAGCATGTTAGAAAGCGGGCGAAAGCGAGATAGATATATGTATATGTGGGCATTTGCATTTGGTTGCCGAGAAGAAAAGGAAGAAGAGGACGAGAATGTTAGCAAGGGAGCGCAAGCGAGATAGATATATATGTGTGCATTGAATTGATTGTCGAGAAGAAAGTGAAGAAGAGGCGGACGAAAATGTAAGAAAGTGGGCGAAAGCGAGATAGACAAGTGAGCATTGAATTGATTGCATAACTGCGCATTGAGGTTATGATCGACCTATTTTTTTGTACGAAAATGTGAAATACCTGTAAATGAATAGCTTGGGCATATGGGTTTTGAGGAAGAGTATATATATTTTTTTTTTTATTTTCTTCAACATTATGTCCTGCAAATGGATCGCTCGATAATTAAACTTGAGTATAACATTTTTAATTGTTACAAAAATGTTAAACCTTTTCAGAGCGTTTTATAATATTGTGGAGAACATTTGAAAGCATTAAAAGAAAATTCTGCGATGCCATAAAATATGTATAAATTGTGAGAGGATGATCAAGTTGATTTATGTCCGTCTCAATCAAATCAAATATATGTATACGTGTACAATTCTTGCTGCAGTTCTCTTCATGTTCAGCGATAGTCACAGGCTGACTTTTAACAGTAATATTTAACATAAGCTTTAACATACATGGGAACTACTGTCAGAGTGACCGTCTTCTGTTAAGAACAGCCCTTGATAATGTGACGTCACTATCCTACTACAATATGTAATTGTATCCACAGCCGAATTGATATGGCTTTCTTATTTGTCTGATTCCATGCAATCCACTGAGAAGCTCCAAAGAAAATGATCCGGTATTACCCGCTTTTAGCTTTGTTCAAGCTTATCTTATGTTTATCATCAGATATTCTTGATTAACTCTCTAGATGTTAGTTTTATTCTATCTGATTTGATTATATTTTATCCAAAATTCTTTTATTATAAAATTTGCGATTTGTAAATTAACAAATTTAGGTTAGGTCTCTAATTTATAACGGTTCATAGTACAAACAAAGAACAAAATGAGGCTAAAGGTCAATTTGTAACGAACTCTGTGCCAGTTAACTTAATAACTGCAAATTGCAGGGCCATATCAGGTTGATATTGGGGCCAATTATTATCGGAACCAATCTGCTGACTAAGTTTCAAATTGTATAATATTTAATTTAGGTTAAATGCAGGGCATTATTTGTTCGTATAATTGTAGTTTTAATAGTTTCGAACCAGTTCGTAACCATATAATAGCTTCGATTCCGAATGCTAACGGTACATTTAACTGCAGTGCCTGTTCGAGTGGCTTTGTCGTTGACGTTGACGTTACGGCTACCGTTACCGTTATTGTAACCGTTGCTTTTACCGTTGCTGACGCTGTCTCTTTGCCAAGTACCGTTTGCCGAGTGCCTCGTATTGAATTCACTAATTGCATAACAAAGTAACATTTGCATATTGTTCCACATATCCTTAAACGTGTCTAACTATGCCCACTAGACGTTGCTGGGTCCCATCTGGCTGAGTGAAGGGGGAGGCTGTGGGGGGGCCTGTCAATAACTTCATTACAAAAATTTCGCATCATATAACATATCAAGTAGTTAGGCACCGACTCGTGAGGCCACTCGACGGGCCACTTGTGCCCATTTAGGCTAAGTATTACTTGTAAGTTTGCCATGTGACTGCGTGGCTGAGTGGCAGTTAAGTTCCTGTTGTTGTTGTTGTTCTCGTTTTAGCCGCTTCCTCGTCTGAGTAATAACAGCTGCCAGACAATGCGCACTGCTCTCATGTTGGCCGAAAATTGTTGCATACTTTTATGGGCGCCAGACATGCAAATCACAAGTCTCAAGACTCGCCATTTACTCTTGCATATAAATTATATATAATATTAAGTTGTTTTTAGTTATCTTTTGTAGCCCAAAAGTCAAATTACTTTATTTGGCCGAAATGTCTGAACATTAAGTAAAATGCTAGACAGAGTTATTCTGAGAAGTTTTGAGTTCTGTTGAGCAGAACTTTTAGTTTATTATTAAATTTACATTTTAGTAAAAAAATTAGGCAATAAACATTCTGTAGTTACATGTGTAATTTAACATTTTGTTGTATTACATCCACTTGGCGGCCAACGTCAGACCTAAGACGGGGTTTTGTTTTAACAACAACATAGTCATAAAACTGAGCCTTGCAAAGGTTATGAGCCTGCGTAGCTTAGGTGTCTGAGAGAGTCTGACCAGCAAGCAAGAATTCACTAGTTCAACTCCAGTCTTAATCTCATTAGCACAAAATATATGTAAAGGATTGTTCTTCACAGAGCAATATGTTTCTGAAATTTGTATTACTTTATTTATTGAACTACAGTTTCCGATGCTTTTATCAGTAAACAGTTTTTAATATGGCGCCCAATGTGGGCCTCTGAATTGAAAAAAAAACAATGCCAAATACTCACAAATAAGCTCAGTTAATAAAATGAATTCCCTCTAAACTTTTCATAGCGTATATTTTCGAATCAATTGCCATATTAATTGATCGCTTATTATTTGTGCGTGCATTTCTGGCAATTGCTTTATTCAATTGGTTGTTGAGACCGCAGTTCGAATCGAGAGATACCAAATAGGATATAGCTAAGCCGCATAATCATACGTGTATATGTGAATATATAGAATACATAAATGCAGATATGTATATACAGGTGCATATCTCTCTCTATGTGTGTTTGTGCAGCAAAGCGAAGAAACGTTGCAGCCATCAAAGCGGGCCAACTGCAATTGCAACAACAACACCAACAACAACAAATGCTGCATGTTGCACATCAACTACGCAGCCAACTAATGGTCCATTCGTGGCACTTGGTTATTGACGTTGGACTCGAATTGTATTAACAATGCATGGGGCCAGCCAGTTGCAGTTGCAGTTGCTGCTGCAGCTGAGCCGAGCCGCTGGCCACTGAACTGCGAGAACTGGGCGTAAGAGCGTGGTGGTCAGTGCGGCCAATACAGCTTTTTTCCAGCTAAATTTGACTAGCTTTAGAGAAGCTTGCAGCTGCCTGCAACTTTGGCCATATTCCTTTTTGTTTTTGTAAAAGTCATTTGGCCGTAAAGATGTGTCCCTAAATGAAACACTTCAACTCAGCTTGCCAATTAAATGTAGCTTTTTTAAAGCCGATTTTTTTTATGGTGTTCAGCTTCACACAATTGTTTTTCTAGCCATATTTGGCTAGTTACAGACATTGTTAGCTGTATAATTTTACGTTTCTGTCATCAAAAAGCTAACGATTTTATATATTTTTCTATAATAACGCCCTTTGTTGAATTCAACATTAAAAAGAGGCTAAAAGAAGCTAGGCAAAAGCTGGAAGCGGGCTGCTTGGCTGGAAAATCCAGACTTTAAGCTCTGCATAAGAAAAGCTGCGACTAATTCTATTTCTATTATTCTATTTTTTTTGCATTAAGGAGAACACTTCAAGTCAACATGATAGCTAAATGCTTTTTAAGCCATTTTTTAGATGTATTCAGCTGCTTTTTGACAGTACACAATGCTTTTTATAGCTAAATTCGGCTAGTTTCAGAGATTGTTAGTCGAAAACTGTTGAAGCTTGCAGCTGCTTGTAATTCTGGTTATTTTCTTTTTACATTTTTTTTAAAAGTATATTGACCTAGAAAATATCTCAATAAAATACTTCAAACCAGCTTAAATTTAGCCTTTTTTAGCCAGTTTTTAGCGTCTTCAGCTGCTTTTTGGCAGTAGGCAAAGCTTAAGCATTTGGCAAATGCAGCCAGTTGGAGCTGTTTTTAACATTGGACTCGGCGACGTTTGACAACACTGTTGGGTGTTTTGTTCGGGTGTATGTTGATGGGTCAAGGTGTTTCGTGTGGGGGCGGGGCGGGCGGGTGTGTGTCGAGTTAAGCAGCGGCTGCGAGACTGCGTTTGGCTTTGATGCAAAATCGAAACGTGGTCAACTTCATTTCGCTTAATTTCGCGTTGGCTCCGCACTCACACGCACGCACACACAGTTGCGCGCTAATCTGTAGCAGAGGCTGTTAGACGATATTAGGGGTGGGGGTAGGATAGGAGTAGGGGTTAGGGGCGTGGCACTGCTGCCACTCAGGTATGACATTTTGGCAGCGTCGAGTGCACCAAGACTGTCAAATGAGTTGTAATGAAATCTCGTTCAGTGCGTGTGCTGCAAAAGCGCGCTCAATGTGTGTGTGTACAGGTGTGTGTGTGTGTGTGTGTGTGTGTGTATGAGTGTGTCGTTGTGTGTGTGTGTGTGTGCTGCTTTGGTCAGTTGCACATATAATAAATAAATTATTTGGCATTTGGCGTACCTATTATTGAAGGCAGCTGGATAACAGGCACACACACACACACACAGACACAGCACACACACAGCACACACACACAGGTTCACACAGCTGTAGCGCCATCTGTCGTTCGTCTTTGCGACAAACTTGCGCATTAGCGTGATTAGTCTCAATAGTCGCTGGCATTAAGATTTGCAGCCACCGCAACAACAACAACAACAACGACAACAACCTCTGCATTTGAGACCCTTCCGTTGACGACGCGCTTTAAATTAAATTATCCATAATTTTTGGCGTTTCCGCCATTTTGTTGCTGTAGACGTCTACGCCAAAAAATAAGCAAAAAAAAAACCTGCGTTAAATGTAATAAATAAAGTACGCCCCCAGTGTCAAGGAGCCAGGAAAAAGGCGTTGCAGTCAACGCAATTGAAACCTTTGAGACGGCGCTTTCTCTCGTCCCAACTCTCTTTCCCCTCTAGATGGCAGCTCGTAAGCATTGAGGCGTTAAGCCCACATCAATTGGGCGTAAAAAGTGGCAAACAGTCTGCCAGCCTCTTCGTCCTAACCTATCTCACACTTTAGCCCAACACTCATACCCCCTCTTAAGCCCAAACTCAACCCCTCTCCATGCTCTTAACTTCCACTTTTGCGGCACTTGTGT